TAGGGTTTATTAAGGATGCAACAGGCTATAATTCAAGTTCAGGAACATGCTCAGTCTCTATCAGCCTGCTGTCCCTCAGCCAACAGTCTCTCTTGATCTCTCTTCCAGCAGAGCATGTCTCTCGGTGTCCCTCTCTGCAGTGCATGTCTCTCACATCTCTCTCTCAGCAGTGCATGTCTCCCACATCTCTCTCTAGCAGCATGTGTCTCCCGCATCTCTCAGCCAGCAGTGAGATCCTTCTACCTCCAGGAGGGATCCTTTTGAGCCTGGCAGAGTGGCCAGACTAACCAATCCCAACATCAGAGTTCTGTACACCTGAGAGAGAACTTCCCAGAAGATTGCTTCATGCCACTCTCAACAGGAATACCCCAGATGGATAACTTTAATAATCAGGAGTTACTCAGTTGCTCATGGTAAATTCCACTACAGAGTTTACAAAGACTTATGGCTAGAAAAGCCACACTATGGAATTTACTACCGTGCAGTCCCCCAGGATAGTTAAAAGATAACAGCACTCCTAAAATCCATCAGTAACATCAGTGGATCATACAGGGGAGCCAGCTATATTACATCTTAGAGTAAGAATGGGGATTCTATGGAAGGGTGGCTCTCTGGTATGCCTTTCATCCTGCAGATTTGCTCCCTAAAAGACATCTACTAATTTCAGCTAGTAAGGGCGACTGAAAGATGTTCCATGCCTATTTATCTAAATTGTCCTGGATCCCCTATCATATTCCCCACCTTCTCTCTTTCTGGGAGCTCTGGTAGCATAGTGCCTAAGGCATTCCACCACTAACCAGAAGGCTGACAGTTCAAACCCTCCTTCTGGTCCTTTCTCCACATGAACTCTGGATTCAGAATACTGATTGTCACCACAGACTGTGTGACTCTGGACTTGGTTTTGCATGTGGTTTCCCACTCTCTAATGGGCTCTGGGAGATGGTTTCCCTTGGATCCTCACTAGCTAAGTGTTTCTTCTATGGCTCCTTCCCTAGCACTTTCATTCTGACTGAATTGTTGTTTCTCAAAATGAAAGGGAAAATGTCTTCTTGATATGACAGAATTTAAAAGCAGTCTCATAAATATCCCGTAATGCAGGCCATCACTCCCTAAATATAGCTTGATAAGTTATGAATGAGGTTGTAAGATAATTTCCCATTCAACTTAATTAGAAAACACCAAAATATAATAATAAAAATGAGACAGTATTTTTCCACCCATAATTTGACTAAAATTAAAGAATTCAGAAAATAGTGTCTGTGGATTTGTAGGGCATTCACATATATTAACTTATGAGGATAAGAAGTAAAAATTTTTGTTTGAAAAAATCCATAATATCTTTTTTTTAAGTAACTAACATTGCAACTTATATCATTTGACCCAGTTTCCAAGTTACATTACCTTTCCTATCTGAAATTATTTACATTTGCCCAGTAATTCATGTTCAAAATTTTGATCTCAGGTCTATAAATCATATTATCAAGTAAGAAACAACTTAGGTTCCAATTAGGAGGATAATAAATTAATTATGGAACATGCATGCTTTGGGAGATGCTCAGAGCAAGATAATTTATGTGCTTTGGTGGAGAGATGCCACACTCATTTTATAATGTGGCACAGGAAGGGGAATAACAATGTGTATTTTAAGTTAAAAACAATATATTTTTTAGCACATGACCCTTGAAAACATTATGCTGAGTGAGATGTCAGTCATGAAAGAACAAATATGATATGCTTCCACTTACATAAAATGTCTAGAGTAGGCAAGTGCATAGAGTTCAAAGTTTATCAGCGGTTACCAGGAGCAGCAGATATGAGAGAAAGGGAGACTCTCCACTTAGGGGACACTAGTTCTATTAAGGGTGAGAGAAAAATCTGGAAATAGATTATAGTGATGGTGGAAAACATGATGGACATAAGTAATGTCACTGAACTGTACATGTAAAAAGTGTTGAAATGGAAATACATTGTTAATATATATTTACAACACACACACACACACACACACACACAAAAAACACTTAGAATCATCCCTTAAATAAAACACACCAGACCCTTAGGAGGGGAATGCATTTTTGAACAATATCTATAAAGGGGAGAACAGTAATTTAAGTATATTGTTAAATTTTTTTTGGCAAAATGTATTGTTGTTGTTGTTTTTAGTTGTTGTGGAGCCTCAGGCATCTCATGGAAACTTTATAGATAACAGAATAAAACACTGCCCTGTCCTTTAAGACATTCATAGAAGCCTAAAATGAAAGAAAGAAGTGTGCATTATTCAGAAAAAGTAATTCATACTCGATGCAACACAGAGAACCTGAAATCTAAATGGTTTATAACAACAACTATTTATTTTTATTTCTCCTCACATAAAATCTACTGTGGTGTATCAGGGGTTGTCTGCTATCAGATGACCCAAGTATTCAGGCTGCTTCCATCAGTTGGTTCTGTCATCATCACATGGGCGCTCCATGTTTGCTGCTGAGGAGAAAACATGCTGGTGACATACTGACTCTCACATGTCTAAGTGATAAACAATGGTTCTGCTCATATTTCAGTAGCAAGGGCTAGTCCCATGACACAAGATGAAGATGATACCTACACATATGCCCAAAGTGTACTTTATTCTCACTTCCACCTCTTTTAGACCTTCATTTATACTTTAGACTCAGGATCCTTACTTTAATCACTTAAGAGACATTACAGAGTAGTGAAAAGGAAAATAAATTAAGAGGCCAAAGGTTGTCCTCAGGTTAGGTGAAGGGGAAGAGTGTAATACCAGCAAATTCAGACCAGGAGTCGAGTCTCTGCTATCAAAAATTCTCATGGACTCTAGACTTCTGGCACCACAAAGGCTGGATGAACCCCTGAAAACATTGCCCTGACATAATCTTTAACCTTAGACAAAAATTATCCCTTGAAGTCTCCTTAAAGCCAAATGATAATTTAGCCTGAATAGTGAAAACTGTCTGCCTTGAGCATGACGCTGTTTTAAGAACTATTTATGTGGGATCAAAATGAAAATAGCAACTTGAAAGATGAGATAGCAAATGTAGGGGTGGTGAGTTTATGCTAATGAGTGACAAACACGTCAGAAAAGGAGAACTGCTGCTCATTTCGAAGAACATTATCAATGCCACTACAAGGTACATGTAAAAACTTGTCAAACTGGTGTATGTATGGTTTTCTGTGTATAGTCTCAACAGCAAGAAAACTACCCCATTCACTTACATTGCCAAGCTAACTGAGTCTCAGTGTCATCATCTGTGAAATGGGTTTGATGAGGTCTCATAGGACTGTTAGATTATATGTAATACATGTAAAAACAAACAAACAAACAATTTGGCAAGGTACCTGACATATCTTGGATTTTTAGGAATGTGAATTATTGTTTAGAAGTAGTGACACTGCCTCGGACACCCAAGGAGGGGTTGCTATAAGTCGAGGCCGACTCAATGGCACATAACAACAAAAACAACAAAACTCTTACTAACCTTTTTGGTTTTTGTTTGTTTGTTTGTTTTTAATTTAATACAAGATATCTCAGAGAACAGAAGTGATTTCAGAGACAGAATAGTAAATCAGAAAAAAAAAATACTGCTTAGGAAGTACAATTTAGGAATGTTTCCCCTCAGCAGGTATATTATTGAACTTAAGTGTAAAGATGCCTTCTCTAACTGAACACAGCTTAGAGGTCCGAGAATCTGTGTCAAGAAAAAAACCCTTTCCTTCCATCTAAACCACCAATGCTTTCATTCATTTCACTGTGAACAAAACTTTAGATGTTGCCAGATCACACTCAAGATAATTAAAATATGTCTTGAATGCAGTGGGGTCTGTCTCTCCCGACCCCACTCAAATTCTACCAGCCCAGTATCTTCTGGGGATGAGGAGTCTCACTTCATGGGAGTATCGCCATTAGCTCTCAGAAAGTATTTGGAGAAGATGTGTATATAACATCTAGTTAATCCAATGTGTTCAACTTCACTGCAACAAGCATGGAGGGAAATTTCCATTCCTTATTTTATTCATGATACCAAAGTAACTAATAGGATTTTATTTTTTTAATTTCAGGATTATTTCTCTCAACTGTGAGACACAATTATCTGAGGGTCTGGTTTCTGGTCACCACTCCTTCAGCATCCCACCTCCCCAGCTTTATTTTGAAATTAACTAACAGTGAAGGACTTGAAATTTCCCAAAGTCCAAATTGCCTTGCTTCTGGGAGTTTGTAGTTAACACTCTTAACCTGACCTTCCCCTGACCTGCCAGTCACCTACACACTTCTTTTTACTTGTGATTTGGTTCTCAGAATATTCCTACCATTGATTTTATATGAGGCTTCTCCCATATTATAAAATTCTATGGGCAGAGCCTGCATCTTCATTATTCTAGTAGCCCCAGTACTAGGGTGGTGCCTTTCAAGGGAGAGAGAGATGCTCCTCTAATATTCTGAGAGTTAATGAGTCAGTGAGCAAGGGGTCTAAATTTATTAAGGTTAAGTTTCTCCTACTTTCTAAAATAAGGCAAGTAAATCTAGGTGTTTATCATTTAAATCTACAGAACTAAGTACTAAAAGGGTTGAGGAAAGCCAAAAAATGACCATCGATTACATTTTTTCCTTAGTTCTTTATATCACATTTATAAGCTGAGTTTTTCCCATTTCCCAGGAAATACCTATCCAAATGTCATGTTATCTTGCCCCTGGTAACAGAATAAGATTGAGGGGTTTCCCAATTTGTTTCCCAAATAGCAAAGCTCTCTCATCATTGAACATCCAAAACAGCAATAAATGCATGAATGTAATACACATATTTAGATTTAAAGGATCTTAAATGTTATACTAAAAAGCACACAATAACCTCACCAAAAGATAAATCTCCAAGTTACCCATATACACCAGGAAATAAAAATACATATATGCACTATGCTTATTCCAGTCCCACCCTCCACTCCTTAGAAAGCTTGTTAAAAACAAAGTGAAAAATCTGACTCAGACCTCAATAGTGGTGGGAGCAGCTGCTGGTGGCACTGGAACTCTCCATCATCATGGCGGTAGCGGCAGGGCTGGCTGCAGCTCTGGCCTGGGCACGTTCTTCTTCATCTTTCAAGGCCTCTTCATATTGAGATGGGAAATCATGTGGGTCAACCCCATGGACTCTGGAGAAAAACTCCAGGAGTTCCATCTTCCTGACTTCAGTGTGGGCCCTCGGGCCCCACACAAATTCATAACACACAGGATCGCTGTTAGGCAGTGGCTGGTACTTGATGTACTCTTCCTGCACCAACTCTTCATTGATGAGCTTCCTGGGATCCCCATAGATCAGGTGATGTTGCTCAGCATATATGCCTGACGTATTCAGCATTTGCCACACTTCCTCCTCAGTGGCGCGGTTGCCATTCAGGAAGATCACACCTAGCATTAGAATCAGGAGGCCGGTCTTGGGCATGCCCTCTGTTTCACTCAGCATCCCATCATAGGTGAGGCCTAGTTTAATGACGAGGATGTAGCCATAGCCGACAGGGTCGACTTCTTTCACATCAAGGCCAAATATCACCTCTATGCGTTCAGACGCTTTCAGGAGGATCTCAGGGAAGTGGTCTTCATATTCTTGAATGACCATATTCAGCATGTCTGCTTTTGTGATCAGCTCCTTCTTTTGATACTTGAACAGCAGAAAATTCACCAGCATAGCCACTTTCTCATCAATAGGGGTTCTGGGCAAGTATTCAATATCTGGTGGATACTGTGAGGCACTTGAACTAGCCCCATCTTCTTGGCTACTGCGGTCTTCATCCAATGTCATCTCTGAGGTGGCTGTCATAGCAGTGAAAGAGGCAAACCCAGTCTCAGGAATCTGAATAGTAATGGCTGTTCCTACAGAAACATCCTCCTCCTCATCGTTGGGGACTGGAGAAGAAGAGGAGGAGGAGGATGAAGAGAAATCATCCACAACCTCGAAGAGCATTATATCCTCCAGTTCTTGGTCCTCCATGAAGGAAGGAAGGTATTCTTCAGGAGAGAAGCTGGGACCCTCTTGGCCAGGCATGATGACTAACTTCTCTGGCTGGCTGCAGACACGATTTTGGGCAGGAGATTGGGAAAAGCAGGCCCACAGCCTAAAGGAAAGATGGAAGATGTGGACCAACTAAGATGGCAAACTAAAATCTGGCCAATTTGACAAAGGCAATCTCTACCACACTTTGCTTGAGGAATAGTACTCTATGGAATCACTGTCTCTTGTCCTTCCAGGCAGTCTTCCCCAGAGTAGCCACCACCATTGAGTCAATTCTGACTCCGTGACCCTATAGGAGAGAGCAGACCTTCCCTATAAGTTTCCAAGGCTATAAAATTTTATGAAAGCTGACTGCCTCATCTTTTCCCCATGGAGCAGCTGGTGAGTTTGAACCATCAACGTTTTGTTCTGCAGCTGAATGTGTTAACCACTATACTGCCAGAGCTCCTTTCCCCATAGTAATATTAAGGAGTAAATGAGAAGATTACTGTGAGGGCAGCCATCCAACTTAGCTTAAGGCTTTCCATGGATCACAGTAGAGCAGGCAGTAGTGTCAGACTCACTGTAACTGCCTTGCTTTTGGATTGGATGTTCTCATTCACATCTCTTACCTGATAGAAAGTAGGCCATTTTGCCTCTGATGACCTGAAGCCACCCCTCTCAGATCAAAGCCTCACCTCCCTGAGAAATCCTAGGACAAAGTGCAGAGGAACCTCATACAGCCACCCTCCACCAATGATTACCAGGGTCAGCAGGGGTTAGATGCTGTGGCCCATCTCTTCTGGGATGGTTTGTACCCTCAGATTCCACTCAGGCTCCTTACCTTGACTCCAAGCAGGTCTCATAATTCTGCTGAACTGACAAAAACTTTCACTACTCTGACACTCCTGAGAAGAAGTTAATGGACTCATCCTGACAACCCTACCAAGTGCTACCCACAGCCAATAACGGGCAGGGCAGGACTCTTTATGTCCCCATTGTTCTTGAGTTGCAGCCCCATTAGTCCACATTCACCTTCATACTTAGGAGAGTCTGAGACTTCACCCTCTAATGACATGATCTTCATCCCCACACTAAGGCCATCACTGCCCTTAGACCATTAAACAGAAGAACTAAAAACCAAACCCACTGACGTAGAGTTGTATCCGACTCACAGCAACCCCTCCTTGTGTTTCTAAGGCAGTATCACTACAAAAGTAGATTGACAACCTTCCTTCCAAGGAGTGGCTGGTGGGTTTGAACCTCCAGCCTTCTGGTTAGCAGTCAAATGCCTTGGGCACTATGCTACTATTTCTGGCATCCCCTGCCTCAGCCCATTCCAGGCTGATATCTATCATGTTCATTCTCCTTTAAAGTAGGAATCCTATTGATCCTCCCTCAAGATCTTCACCTGGTTTGGAAAAGATGGGAACCAACCCTTTGTTATCTGGAGTTGTATCTCCTCAAAACAAGGTCCACACCTCCCTGAGACAGATGATTTGGAAGTGACATCAGTCTGAAAAGTCTGCCCAGGTCATGCTGGGATGATATTAGGGGCAGCCTCTAGTCTGTTCGACCCATTTTGTTCTGGGTTGTGAGGTCCCAACTCTATTTTTTTTTTGCCTCTCACAATTCCTGAGACCCTCTCCTGACTTGAGGTTGCCCACTCACAATAAAGCTCAACTCCATGTGACCATGGTGGAGGAGTGAAAAGACATCTTATCTAGCCATCTCTGTTCCAAATCTGTTTGGATTCCAACTGGTTTGTAGGACTAGAATTTTCTGGGGTGGTGATCCCCTTATTCCTAACTCATATTACTTACCGTGACTACTGGCAGGGCCTGGGATCACTCCTTCTGACTTCACATTGCCTACTCAGTCTCCACCAACCTGAGACTGCCAGGATAAAGTGCTGAGAGCAGAGCAGAGCTCTGTGCGGCTCCTAAAGTTCTGTGATGGGCGGTCCCACAGACCCAATTCAGTGTCTTACCTTGATCTGTCGTATGGTTTGGGCCTCCTCCCTCAGCTCTCCTAATGTTGCGCACTCTCAATGAGATCTGTAAGAAGTGTGAAGTAGGGAAAGGTCATCCATTCCATCCACTCCAGGCTATCCGGCTCCCAGGGCTCCCAGTGGTCTTTGGGACCGGAGCACACATTTGTGGGTGGGTGCTACCCTCAGGCCTATGTCAGTGTTCTTCAAATCACTCTTAGATGTCCTTTGGAGTCCTCCTTCTGCTCACCTGATGTGACTTAGTCAGAGAAAATCCTTCCCTTCCCTGAGACCCCAAGAAAGTGAGGGGTCATTTCAACCTGAAATCCTTGCTTAGAGAATTTCAGGGCTAGCAGCAGGGGCAGAGCAAGACTCTTAGTGAGCCTCTCCTAAAGTGGGTGGTCCCTGCACACCTAACTCAGGATTCTTACTAGCAGGTTCCGAGGCTACCCCCTTTGCTTACCTGGCGGGTATCCCCTAAACCCAGAGCAAGCACCTTCCTCACAGACACTTGTTAGAAGCCATGAAGTGCCTCAGCAGACAGAGCTGCAGAGGGTTACTCTTATCTGAGAAATGTTAGGCAGAAAGGCAGAGCATGGGGGCTGGCCTGAGGGCAGGCCCAAAGGGAGAAAAAGGAAGAGAGGCAGAATGTTTCAGAGGGCTGATGAGCTAACACCTGTAAATTTCTCACAACTGCCTGTGAGATTTGGTCAATTAGGGTCAAGCAGGACAACCACAACCCTCTTAATTTTGGGGGGGAGGTGAATGAGCTAGCATCTGCAGTTTAATGCCTATGAGATTTGGCTAAATAATCAGGGTCATGTCACTCAAGAGGCCCAGCCCCACCTTAAGGAAGTATACCCCAAACCCCAATGAGTTAGATAGTTGGTCCTCCTTCCATTTCTCAGGAAGAACCCATCTCTCTTTTTTCCACTCTTTTAGGAGACACCCATTCCTTTTAATGGCCCTCCCCACTTATAGGGGGAGATCCATTTCTCCTAAGGAAATGTACTCTAGCTTTTAGTAAAGGTTTGGATGCTTGTGTGATTGATCCCTTGTTAAATTAGTTTGTCAAACCATCGCTGCCAAACCCCACTGCTTGCTTGTGGATCACTCGCTCATGAAAATGCTCGTGAGTAAGGCAAGGCCAGGGCAAAAGGGGGTTTCTTCCCCTTAGATAACATTACCAGAGTAGAAACCAGGAACATCACAGGAATTTGTGCCTCCCCTCTGTTCAAGGCCAGTGGACTCCTCAATCCCATTCACTGCCTTACCTTAACACCCAGCAGGGCCTCGGAGTCCTCTCTCCACTGAACAGAGACCACCCCCTAAGCCTTCACCTCTCACAGACCTCCTAAGCCATAAATCTCCTCCCAACATCTGACCATCCAATTCCTGATAGGGCAGATAGCATGGGCGGGTCTCTGGGGGACTCCTGTGTTCTGAAGTAGGGGCTGTCCTCAATCCTCTCAGTCCATGCTGGACATCAGCTTCTCTCTCTGTACCCTTAAGACCAAGGCCTTAACTGACAGTGCTTGAGGTGGGACCCAAGGGATGTAACTGTCATCTTGCCTGGGTCTTCCGAAGGCTGACTAGAGGAGGTGGATTGGATATTGTGCAGGCCTTCTCCGTACTGGGCTGGGGTGTTGCCTCACATGTCATTTGGGGTCTGGCCTGTATTTAGACACAGATGTGCACGCGCACACACACACACACGTGCGCACGCGCACGCGCGCGCCACACCCCCATAGATCTTGAAACTCCTCTCTTTTTTGACTGAAGTGTATCTTCCCTGTACAACTACCCAAGAGGAATGTCAGTGGGCTTCAGCCCGACTCCTCCACCTGAGGTGTTGCCAGGGGTAACAGCACGGTCAAGGGCCTGCCTGGATCTGATCTTGGGGCCCCTCTTTTCTGCAGTGGATAGTTTTCTCAGACCCCACTCCTTGTCTTACCTTTACACCTCTCACAGTTTGCGAATTTCCTCCTTTTCTGACCAGTGGCCCCAACGGTCAGATCGAATTCCTACGTCACAGACTCTCGAGGCAGACATCACCGGAAGAGCCTTTAGGCTTCCATACGGAGGCCTCCCAGGG